CATGTTACCGTTGATTCAGCGGAAAGAAGTTTTTAAAATTAAAATAGATAAAATCTTACCTAAGAACAACAATGTCACAAGAAAAGTTAAATGGATTAGCTATATTGTCAATTGAAAAATACTTATTAGGAGTTATTGATAATAAGAAAATTATTAATAACATTGTATCTAAGCAAAAAAAATAAACTTCAAATAAATAATTAAAAAAATTAAAAAGTTAAGGCCTATCATAAAGTTTGGCTTTAGGCCCCAAAATTCGTCGGGCCACCCCCGACACTACTTTAGGTTTAGATAACACCTTTGGAGGCACGAATACGCTAGGAGCAAGGAGGAAGATTCAATCACGAGTCTTCTTCCTATTTTTCTTTGTTGGTTATGACTTTTAGTAATGTAATTTTATATACTACTATGAGTAGCTAATTTCTATTATAAGTTTTGATGAAATCTTTTGGAGGATGAATTTTTGTTACATTTTTATGTTATTTAGCATTTAAATTTCTCTACTTGTTTAACTACGTCCTGTTAATAGATAACATAAATATGGAGCCAGCTCTTCTTATGTTTCTTAGTTTTGATGCGTTATCGATTACCTTGACTAATATATATGTTAATCCTGCTTGAAAGTCTATTGTTGCTGCATTAAGCAGATGATTGAATAGGCATTAAATTATGAATAACACAGTTGTTCTCAAGGAAAATTCATTATTGTCATCTGCCTGTCCCAACATCATATTTTCATGAAGATTTTGAGATCTTTCTACTCCACATAAGATCTCAACTCACCACAAGATCGAATTTTTAAATGGATAAGAACTTAGAATGATATTTTATAGGCATCAAATGCCACCTTCTACAGGTTCTAGTTCTTTAAAATTGTAATTTAAAAAATCATATAATACGGAAAAGGATATAACTAGTTTTTCTTTCTTGTATGTCTTACATATTATTGAGATTATTGTCTAATTATGTAAAGTGGCTAGTCTGTTGTAAAGTGGCTAGTTGGATGTAAAGTGGTTAGGCTAGACATTTAGTTTTAGTTAATTAGTTAGGTTGTGTATATATATATACTGTATATAGAAGTCAATAACAGCTCGAGGTTTCATTTCCCATTTTCTGTTTCTTCTTGTTCTAGATTGTTCTCTCCGTCTCTCTCCTTACAGTGACCTCCATGGCTGCACATGCTAAGCTTGAACCAGCCTTCATCTTGAATAGTTAACATGGTATCAGAGCTCGTTGTTCCGATCTATCATCTCTCTGTCATCTTCTCTCTTCTCTGTATCAGTTAATTTTGAGTATTTTCCCAAATCGATCGATCGCCGGAAGCAGTTTTACTTTTTGCCCTAATTCAGTGTCGGAGAAGGGGCTTTTTCTCCCAAAGTATAATACTCACACAATTAACTTCAATCACTAATGGCCGTTGATGATTTGAGCGATGCGGCTAGCACAGATGTGCATGTCGGAGTTCCAGGAAATTCCGGAATCGATCCAGGTGATCCCTTGTACTTGCACCCGTCGGATAATCCTGGCGCTATGCTTGTTTCCGTCCCCTTCAGTGGTGTTGGTTATCGTTCATGGAGGCGCAGTGTGTTGCAAGGCCTATCAATGAAAAACAAGCTAGGATTTATAAATGGCGAATGCAAGCGCCCAGATCCCCAGTCACTCACATTCCGCCAATGGGAACGTTGTCATGATATGGTGACTTCGTGGATACTTAATTCCCTGTCAAAAGAGATCGCAGACAGTGTTGAATATGCAAATGATGCTATGGAGCTGTGGATCGAACTAGAAGATAGGTATGAGCAGAAAAATGGAGCTAGATAGTACCAAATTCAAAAGGAAATAAACGATACATCTCAGGGAACTCTTGACATTACCAATTACTACACCAAACTGAAGAAACTCTGGGAAGAATTGAGCACCTTGAGTAAAAAGTCTCAATGCACTTGTAATTGTACTTGCGGTGCAAAGAAAAATTTCTACAAAGCTGAACAGGACAGGCGACTAATACAATTTCTTATGGGATTGAATGAAACCTATACTGTGATTCGAGGAAGCATCCTGATGATGAATCCATTATCAAACTTAGCTCAAGCCTTTTCTCTCCTAATACAAGATGAGAAGCAGAGGGAAATCAAGCCACACACTCAGTTGTTCATTGAATCAACCTCTATGAATGTTGCTAGTTCTAGGCCCAATACTTGTAGGACTAACTATTCACCTAACAACAACAACTATGGTGGACAAGGAAGGGGAATACCTACATATGATTACTGTAAAAAGACAGGGCACACAATGGATAAATGTTTCAAACTACATGGCTACCCTGAGAATTCTGGATATCCCCGCAATCAAAATCACAATCCAAACCAACATTTCAAGCAGAATCAGGGATTTAATTTCAACTAGAACCAGGGATTCAATCGCAGCCAGAATTTTAACAAAGGAAAGAGAATAGTGGCTAATGTGCATGGAATCAGTCCTCTAACATGCTATCCAACAAGGGAGAAGAACAAAATGATTTGAATGAAGACCAGAATATCAGCCTATCAAAGGAGCACTATGGACAGATCCTGACTTTGCTTCAACACTTTCAAGCTGGCAATGGAGGAGAGAATGCAACTGTCATCAATCCTGTCAATGGGGCTGTAAACTTTGCAGGTATAATAGTTTGTACTTCCTCTATAGATTTTGGTAAATTGTCATGTCAATGTCTCAAAACTAAGACTGATTCCTGGATTTTAGACTCAGGGGCGTCAAACCATATGACCTTCAATAAGTCCCTACTAACCAATATCATAATACTACCTATCCACTCTTAGTTGTCCCACCAAATGGATATAAAGTGAAAGTAACAGAAATTGGTAATGTAACACTTGTGCCTGATATCATTTTACATAAAGTAATGTTTGTACCTTCTTTCGAATACAATCTAATTTCCATTCATGGTCTAACCAGTGTGAATCCCAGAAGTATAGTAGCCTTCACTAATAACCTTTGTATTCTGCAGGCCCCTTCAATGAAGAGGCCTCTAGAGATTGGTAAAGCTTGTGATGGGATGTACCTCCTCTTCCCAAAATGTCTGAGAAGCAGGTATTCAGGTTCTGTTGTTAGTAATTCACTCTCCTGCCTTGATAATAAGGCCCATTACACACACAACTCACACTGTCATATTGATTCGTCTGTATATAGTTCATTGTCCACAAATAAGTGTGTATCTCTTCCTTCACCTGTAAATGTTCCATGTTTGAATGATAAAAATCTTAGTTTTAATTCCTCTGTATCATCTAATAATGATGTCAATGTTCTGTGGCATAATAGACTTGGGCATGTACCCTTTGTCAAAATGAGAGGGATTACCTCTATCCCTATTTCTTTTTCCCCAAAACAACCCTTTCTTTGTTCCATTTGTCCAATGGCCAGGCAGGGAAGACTGCCATTTCCCCAGAAAACAAATTTTTCCACAAAAATCTTCCAAGTACTACACATAGACATATGGGGACCTTACCATGTGGCAGCCCATGATAACTATAAATACTTCCTTACATTGGTGGATGATTAAAGCAGATATACTTGGACTAACCTTCTCTCATGCAAAAGCAATGCATTACAGGTCATAAAAATATTTATTTCTATGGTTGAAACCCAGTTCAATACAAAAGTTAAAATAATCAGACCTGACAATGGCTCAGAGTTCACCAGTATAGAGGCAAATATGTTCTTCCAATCCAAAGGCATCATCCACCAAAAGACTTGCCCCTACACACCTCAACAGAATGGGATAGTGGAAAGAAAACACAAATATCTCCTGGAAACTGCCAGGGCACTCCTATTCCAATCAAAATTGCCTGTAAAGATACTGGGGTGAATGTATTTTGTGTGCAACCTATATCATAAATAGATTACCCTCTTCCTATAGTCATCCTAAATCTCCATTTGAACTACTTCACAATAAAAAGCCAGCATACTCTCACATGAGAAGCTTTGGATGCCTTTGCTATCCTTCTGTATCAAAAGTGCACAGAGACAAGTTTGAACCTAGAACATCCCCATACATATTCATTGGTTATCCCTATGGTGTCAAAGGTTACAAGGTCTTAAGTCTTTCCACTAAAAAGATATATGTTTCTAGGGATGTTGTCTTTATTGAGAATGTGTTTCCCTTCACTATATCCCCTGATAATTCCTCATTTCCATCTATTCTTACCTCTGTTCCATTCATTGATAAGATTCAAGAAGGCACTGATTTTACTTATGATAGTGATAATGGCACCAGTGTTACACATGACCAATCCCAACATCTTGAGTCCAATACTAGTTCTGGGAGTCCTTCCAGTTCTTTGCCACAATCTGATACACCTCAACCTTCAAGCCATACTTCATCACCAATAGCCCACCAACCTGTCAACACTCATGTTGTCCTAAGGAAATCACAAAGACCACATAAACCACCTGCATTTTTACAAGACTACTTACATTCACTCCCTATACTTGAAACCATCACCATCTGTTGCTCACAATAGTTCTGCTGCACCTTTCTCTCTTAATGCACTGTTCTCTAACAACCACCATATCACCTCTGATGTTTTGAATCCTAAGAGTCAAAGTCTTGTAAGGGATATATGCAGTGACAGTGAACCCTCATCTTATGAGGAGGCAGCTATGAATCCTGCCTGGCAAATAGCTATGAACCAAGAGTTTGAAGCATTACATGCCAACCACACTTGGACCTTAGTTCCCTTACCTACTGGGAAGAAAGCCATAGGATGTAAGTGGGTGTATAAAATAAAACATAAGGCAGATGGTAGTGTAGAGAGACTCAAAGCTAGGCTGGTTGTAAAGGGATACACTCAACAAGCTGGAATTGACTATACAGAAACCTTCTCCCCCAGTAGTTAAGATGACAACTGTGAGATCCTTAATAGCTATAGTTGTGAAGAAAGGGTGGTACATATCACAACTAGATGTAAATAATGCATTCCTAAATGGGGATCTAGGTGTACATGGAGGTCCCACAGGGACTAGCAGTTGACAACCCAGGTTTAGTTTGTAAACTCAACAAATCTCTCTATGGCCTGAAACAGGCAAGCAGGCAATTGTATGCTAAACTAACAGAAGCTTTATGCTCAAGGGGTTATGCACATTCAATGTATGACTACTCTTTGTTTTACAAGAAAAGTGAACACTCTTCTGTTTACATAGCAGTGTATGTTGATGATATTGTAGTTATAGGAACTGACATTATGGAGACCACAGATTTAAAAACATTCTTGAACAATAACTTTACAATAAAGGATCTGGGAAGGCTGTATTACTTCTTAGGACTGGAAGTTCTCTACAAAGATGATGGTGTAATAATTTCCCAGAGAAAATTTACTCTTGACCTATTGAAAGAATACCAATGCATGGATCACAGCAGCATCAATTCTCCATTGGACCCCACTGTGAAGCTTAAAGCTAAGGAAGGAGAGAGGTTGACAGACCCCACTTACTACAAAAAGTTGATAGGAAAGTTCAATTTCCTCACCAATACTAGGCTATATATAGCTTATAGTGTGCAACACTTAAGCCAATTCATGGATGACCCCAGAGAACCTCACTTAACAGCAGCTTTCCATCTGCTCAGATACTTGAAGGGGGACCCCACCTTGGGCATATTCCTGTCTAAAGATCAAGATTATACAATCAGAGCATATTGTGATTCAGATTGGGCAGCATGCCCAGATTCCAGAAAATCTGTGAGTGGTTATCTTGTGTTGATGGGGAGTAGTCCAGTTAGTTGGAAATCCAAAAAGCAGGATACTATCTCCCTCTCCTCTGCAGAGGCAGAATACAGAGCCTTAAGAAAGGTAGTGGGAGAACTGGTGTGGCTCAATCGATTGTTTGAAGAACTTATAGCACCTTTTTCCAAGCCCATTGATGTGTTATGTGATAGTCAGTCTGCCATGCACATAACCAGGAATCCTGTATTCCATGAGAGAACCAAACATATAGAAGTTGACTGTCATTTTGTAAGAAGCAAGCTACAAGAGGGATTGATTTCATTGCACCATGTGGGAACAACAGATCAGCTTGTAGATATTCTAACATAGGCCCTGACAGGAGTTAAGCGTTCAGCAGCTCTACACAAGTTGGCAGTGTTTTCCACACCAACAACTCAAGGGGGGAGGGGGGGATATTGAGATTATTGTCTTATTATGTAAAGTGGCTAGTTTGTTGTAAAGTGGCTAGTTGGATGTAAAGTGGTTAGGCTAGACATTTAGTTTTAGTTAATTAGTTAGGTTGTGTATATATATACTGTATATAGAACTCAATAACAGCTCGAGGTTTCATTTTCCATTTTCTGTTTCTTCTTCTTCTAGATTGTTTTCTCCTTCTCTCTCCTTACAGTGACCTCCATGGCTGCACATGCTAAGCTTGAACCAACCTTCATCTTGAATAGTTAACACATATGTCAAAGATGATTACTTTCGCTATGTTATTACCTTATTGCTCTTATCATTGCCATGTTCATGATTTGAGTTCTCTGTTGTTGACATAGGTATTTGTTGCCAACTCTAATTAGTTTTTTTTATTATGCTCATTATTTTGTTATTCCAGCATTATACATACTTAAATAATTTTTTTTAATTTATAAATAATATTTATTTATTCTATAGGTAAGTCTATAATATAAATTAAAAAGGGAAAATCATAATATTAAAAAGTTTAAACAAAATAAAAAGAAGATAAATGTTTATAATTTAGAAGGTAAAATAGGTATTCGGCAATCCAAAATTTGAAAAATCTAGTTGAATGACCTTTTGAGTGCAATATGCATAGTTAAGTGACTTTGTTGTTACAATCTGTTTACCCTCAAATCCGAATAACAATTGAATTTATATGGGGTTTTAAGGATCCGTGAACTAAAAGATACAAAAGGTTTAGGTTGAGGAAAAAAAAAAGATAAAGACTCAACAATTGCTGTTAAAGTAAATAATCGCAGAATATAATATTGCTTAGAACGATTGTCCTTCCTCCTATAAGAATTTAGAGAGATCCCCTTTTATACATTCTGATTAAGGGTAAAAATAAGGTAGGTCAATTGATTACGTCGTGGATCCCTGTAATTACGCCTTAATGGCCTGAAGTGGTTGAGAAAATCACGTTTGGGCGAGATATCCGGCGACGCTTGGTTATCCGTTACGAGTCCGGCTTCCGACCTTGTGTGTTTCTCCATCCGGTGGTGACTCATATCGAGCTCTGTAACGGTCTCGAAATGACTCGACCTCGGTTGTAGACGTGGCCGTCGTTCTACCTTGCATCCAGGTCGGGTTCGATGGCCCCGACTTGCTCCGGACCGGACCCAACCCGGTCGGGCTCAAGCAAAAAAGAGTATCACCCAATACACAATCGAAAGTAAAATGACTTTAGCAGATAATTTGAGATTTTTCTTGGAAAGTCGAATACTAGTTCAGTTTTACACATACCTTTTTTCTTTTTAGTGTCAGTAGCTTGGAATACCTTTTCTGAGTAGTTCACGTTTTGTTTGTATGCAACTAACCTCGAGGAACACATGCCCAAAGGCCAAATTTCACGGAATCATCTAGCACGATGATTGTAGAAAATTATGGAACGTACATTATTTTAAAATCGGAAGCTTGTGGAAAGTGGAAAGTGGAAAGTGGAAAGTGGAAAGAATCATCTAGCACGATGTCTGTAGAAAATTATGTCAAATCATCTGCCTATCATCCAGAAATCTTTCTAGTTGATTAGTTATTTGAACTTTTACGATTCCGAAACTTTTCTAAAGATTTTTTGGATAAAAAATATGTTTTTACTATTAAAAAATAAAATACATAACTATCTAATTCGCAGTACTATATTGCGAATTACTTTAACGGAAATTTAGCCATTAAAGTAATTCGCAGTACAGTACTGCGAATTAGTTAAAAAAAAAATTTAATTAATTCGCAGTATAATACTGCGAATTGAATACACTCCGATTTTTGGGTCCAGCAATTCGCATTACTATATTGCGTATAAGCAATTACTGCGAATAACTTTAATAAAATAAAGACTCCTTCTTCTTCCCCAAGACAATTTGCAGATCCCCCATTAAAAAACAATCTCACCCCACTGCTGGTCCTCCCCCCCCCCCCCCCCCCCTAGTCAAAATAAAAAATAAAATTTGGGCCCCACCCGTCACCAAAAAAGCAAAGAGTGTAGGTCCCACAGACAAGACAAGCTTTGGATTCCTTCTTTCGGGTGCAAAAATTCGATTTCAATCAAATTCAAAAAACTTAAATCGAGGTATTTTGATTTTATTTATGTTGAAACTCGTATAGTACATGCATATTTGTATTGTTTAATGTGTTTCCATGTCAATTTGTATTATGTTTGTATTTAAATTTGTATCTTATTTATACCCGGATTGATTTATTAGCTTTGCGACAAAAAAATGTTAAAATTTGATAAATAATTTGTATTGTTAATGTTATGTTTTTATTTGGTTAAATAATAAATAAATATTATTTATTTAGTTTGTTGTTCATATTTGTATGTTATGTTTGTTGTTTTTACATGTAATAGTGACCTTTTAGCGTAGTAAAATAAAGAGCCTTTTGGGAATCCGCAATAAATTCCAATAATTTTATTACATGCCCTCATTATTGGGAACGTCTTCCACCTTGATGTACATTTCCAATAATTTTATTACAATAAATTCCCTGTATTCATCCGGAATCCGCAAAAAATCTCTAAGAGTTTCATCATCCTCGATGTTAAAATCAGAATAATAAGCAAACCCCTGCGGAGTCACTGAATACGGAAACCTACCGGTTACTTTAAAGTTAACCGAACGCTTCCTCACACTCATTTTTTTACATAACAACGAAAACAATTTATCATACTCCATAGTAAGCGGCAATTTAACATGACACTGTGGAGGTGAGCTACACCTCACAGAGTTATTCTCCAGCACAACCTCATCCCCCCCCCCCCCCCCTCCCCTCCCAATATAATGAAACTCTTATTTTTGGCTCTTCAGACATTGTACAAAAATGACTGATAAGAAGAAGAGAGAAGTATGAATGGAAGTTTGAAGTTTGTATTGAATGAATTTTCATAAAATTGAAACGCTTTTAAATAAGCCAAGTCCGAGCTTGGGGTGCATAATTTTTTCAAGGAATTCGCAGTACAATACTACGTTTTATGTGTTTGAATTATTGTTATGTCAGTTAATTATTGGTGGGGCCAAATTAATACAGAAATTGCAGTACAGTACTGCGATTAAGTAATTCGCAGTATTGTAATGCGAATTAGTTAAAAAAAATATTTTTTTAATAATACGCAGTACTATACTGCGAATTACTATTTTTTTAACTAATTCGCAGTACTGTACTGCGAATTACTTTAACGGCTAAATTTCCGTTAAAGTAATTCGCAGTATAGTACTGCGATTTAAGTAGTTATGTAACTTTTTTTTAGTAGTAAAAACGTGTTTTTTTGTCCAAAAAACCATTAGAAAAGTTTCGGACTCAATTTTTACTTTATTAATGAGGGTTTGATTCACCATCTTGTCATCCTCTATCTCATTTTATTTTCCCCTAAATATAATTTTAAAAAATCTACCTATCAACTTATTAAAGAATTAATTAATTAAAAATTTACAAAATAAACGAGTTGTCCTTGAAAGTTTCTTATGAATAATAAAAAATATTTAAAAACAGTAAAAGTATGTCCTACACAACTTCTCTTTCCACTAGGTAGTCACTGCCTAACATCGTGAAAGTCGGAACTTTTAGTTTTGATTAACTTTGTTTTGATATGAAATTATAGAAAACAAAAATTAATGCACGTAGGTGACTATCAAATCACATATACATAATATCGCATACTAATTGTTGAACATTATTTACATACATTTTGAAATAAAATATCCACTGTAGGATGTTGTATGGTTGTCAAGTAATTCATTCTTTACATCCACGGTACCATCATACTATTAGATGCTAAAGTGCCACTGATCACGCCTGACTCTAATTCTGAAAAGGATAAGCGGTCGCAATAAATATAATTTGGTTTAAGATTTCGGAGTCGAATCCCACAGGAAATTAAACTAAGGCTTAGATACAAGTGTTCAATATCGCTAAGAAATACAAGTTCAAAAAATTTCTTAGTTATAAAGATTGTAATTTATTTTAAATATTTAACTAACAAATGCTAAAAAGTAGTAAAATTATCAACTAACAAGGATGAAACTGGAGACAAGATTAAGGACGCCTAGAGTTCTGATCTCCCCAATTATCGGAATCCTTCCATTATGTCTCCTACAATTTTACCTCATTATCCTCTACTGATCGTGAGCACTTCATGTTTCGTAATTTTATTTCGAGCAATTACAATAATTTACTAGACATATTCTCGCAAACTATGCTAGCTAACACTATCTTACCACTATGACCACATCAAGACTTTATTATTCTTAAACCATCTTTAAACCCGCCGTATGGATTTCTCACGTATGTTAGGAGTGACGTTGTTCAACGATCACCTAAATATATACTCTTTCCTAAGCGATACATAATAAACAGTCACGGTCAATCAATGGCAATTCAATCAATTGAAATAAGCACGTAGTTAAACAGGTAGAGAAATTCAAAGGCTAAATTACATAAAAACGTAACAAGAATTCATCTTCCAAAATGTTCCATCAAGACTTTATAATAGAAATTAGCTACTCATAATAGAATGTAAAATTACAATACTAAAAGTCATAACCAATAATGAAAAAAAGGAAAAGAAAGGAAAAACTCGTGGTTGAATCTTCCTCCTTGATCCTAGTGTATTCTTGCTTCCAAAGGTATTATCTAACCCTACAGTAGTATTTCTCCCTTCAAAATGACGTTTAATGATGTATTTATATCAATTAGGGTTTATATGGGGCAGCCATGAGCACTCCTATTTCAAGTTGAGTGACGTGTCTAGGGTTCATGCAACGCGCGACCCCTAGGCATGCTCCCAGTTTTTTTCTTCTGTGTTTCTTTCGCGTGATGGGGGTTGGTGACAAAATTCCATACTTCACTAGTTTAGATTCATTCTCTTGGTGCCT